AATTGCAATGTAATTGAATTACAATATAATTAAATTGCAATGTGTAATTGAATTACAATATAATTGAATTGTAATATAATTGAATTGCACTGTAATTGAATTGCAATGTAATTGAATTACAATATAATCGAATTGCAATGTAATTGAATTACAATATAATTGAATTAAAATGTAATTGAATTACAATGTAATTGAATTACAATATAATTGAATTACAATATAATTAAATTGCAATGTAATTGAATTACAATATAATTGAATTGCAATGTAATTGAATTACGATATAATTGAATTGCAATATAATTTAATTACAATAAAATTGAATTGCAATGTAATTGAATTACGATATACTTGAATCGCAATATAATTGAATTACAATATAATCGAATTGCAATGTAATTGAATTACATTATAATAGAATCGCAATGTAATTGAATTACAATATAATCGAATCGCAATGTAATTGAATTACAATAGAATTGAATTGCGAAATTGATACGCAATATAATCGAATTGCGAAATTGACATGCAACGTAACTTAATTGCGAAACAAAAAATGCCTCGCACGTACAAAGCAGTGGAATCTTGCTAATCCGTCGATCGCCGTCCCGGGTAAAATAATGTACGAGAAAAAGGTCGACGAAACGATCCAAAGTGAAATTTTAGCGTTCGAACGTGAGAAATAGCCGTTCGCCGGCGCGCCGCGCCGCTCAGAATTCAATACCGTATTCTGGCGCGCATAGGCGCCGCGATTTTATGACGTTTCCCCTGTTCCCAGACGGTTTTTACGACAGGTGGACACGAACAGCGTAATTCTCGATAAGGAGTCGCGTTTAATTTAAACCGGCTGCAGATAGGCGTAGCTAATTCCGCGCGATTACTTTCAACCGGCGTGTCACGGGTAATCGGATTTAATATCAACCGCAGACGGACACGCGGCCCGTCCCCCTTAATTCTCTCGGTACGGTTAGGCTTGGCGGTTAGGTCCCGGGGGTTTTATCGAACGAGATCGTCGAAAGGGAAGGATAATTAATTGTCACACTCGTTATCCTGAGTTACAAGGATCCCTCTCGCCGGCAACGCGTCGCGAATCGCGATGAAATTAATCCGATCGCTGAGAGATTCCTCAGGATGTAACAATCTCGGTTAAACCAGTTAATGAACGAGGACTTCGCGACACTCCGGGCATATACAATCTTGTGCTAAAGTTCCGATGGTACAACTTCTCGAAACCCGTTGAAGCACAGAACGACGCGTCTCTGTTTAATAAATATCGTTCGTCACTTCGCTTCTTATTTTTATTTGACCGATTACTGTCTCCGATCTTTCATTGAATAATAATTGAATATATTCTTGCAAGATTACGCGAAACAAAAGTTGCATCGTTATTGAAATAATTTTTGGGATCTTTGTGTTCGAATATTTTATTCGAAGGAGGAATTATTCGAATAATTTATTCGAATTAAGAATTATTGCGAAGAAAGAA